TTGGACCATTCTGTTGTCTGAAGAGATTACAAAAAATACCGCCCCCCCACAACAAACACCCTTCCTGAAGTATCCAGAGGCCCACTTCTAATTTTGAAGTACTATTTTTTTTTTGCAAAAGTACAGGGAGGTTCTGCCACCTATATAAAAGTTGCCATGCAGTCTTCCTTCCCCCTTTTTTAACCAAGAGAGAAAAGGAGAGCTCTGTGGACTCTGGAGGAGAAGGGCTGTGAAAACAGCCTTGGAGCAGCTGCATTTTCTCCAGCCCTTTGCTAGGACTAGTGTAAGGGCACCCTTTGTTCTAGGACTGAGAACCCAGTGGCAGCCCAGGCCCTAGAATAAGAAAGGCAGACCTGCAGTCATGAGGGCTTTTTCAGGACAGGACAGGATAGGGACAGGGAATGGGCGGAGATAAAGAAGCATCCAAATGGTCATTCATCAGTGCTGGAGCCAAGCACAGTGGCGCAAGATGAACTACTGTTTGTGCTACAACAGCAAAAGCCAATTTATAAGATGAGGCTGCCAGACCGTTTGCTGCCAACATACTAATCTCCTGCTGTTTGCTTCTTGGGACGCTTTGTACTGTGGACTCTGGGGAGGAGTAGTCACGGGCAACTACTGCAAACTGAAAACTCTCCATTTCTGTCCTGTTTAAACTTGATCAGTACAATTTGTAGCCAACAAAACTAAATCTAGCCCACCACTCATATGCTTTGGCTTCTCAATTGTTGACCACCCTTCTACTTTTGCAGGCAGGACAAATAAAGGTGATGCATTGAACTTTGCACATGGCCAGGGATGGTGTTCAACTGAGGAAGCTTGATTGCCCCCCCCTTTCCCAACTGACAAAGACTTTCCTCTTTATGAAAGCTTTCGCCCTTGATCTGCTTGTGGTAGAAGTATGCGGAATGGCTGTCCTGTTGTTTTTCAATGAGTAATAAATGTTTCTTTTAACTTATACTGCAAGCTGCTTTGGGTCCCCAATTGAGAAAAATGTGGGATAGAAATCACACAAACAAACTTGGAGGAGTCACAAGTTTTAAAAAACTGGCATTATTTTGTATGTTATCAAGGTTGTTGTTGTTATTATTATTATTATTATTATTATTATTATTATTATTATGCGCTGGGTCCAAAGACTGCCCATTCTTTATGATTCACTTGTTTGAAATCTGGTTATGATTATTTAGATGAAAGAACATTTGTGAGGTTTCAAGACCCTAAAGGCACCCTTGGAATTTTGGAAGCTAAGCAGGATCAGCCCTGGTTAGTACTTGGATGGGAGACTACCAATGAATATCAGCTCTAGGCTGAAGGAAGGAACTGACAAAACCACCTCTAAATATTCCTTGCCTATGAACCCTGTGAAAAATCCATGGGGTCATCATAAGTTGACAGGCAACTTGAAGTCACATCCACACACTCAAGGACTTTTGTGCATGCATAGAACTAGTTTTCTGTTATTTCTTGTACTTCAGGGCTGAAGATTCAGCAATTAAATTAGCCTGTGGAGTAAAAAGCCTCAGTGATCCCACAATACTTATGTTTGCACTCTTCATTTTTCTCCTGGGAGCTTTAGGGTGATGTATACAGTTATGCAGCTACGTTATTCTAGACTTATTTTTTATTTTTTATTTTAGACTAAATGTTTTTATTTCTCCTCCTTTAGATAGCTATTGATTGAAGGATGGATTGACTTTTGTCCTTTTCTCTCACAAATTGGACTCAAGATAACTTAAAGTAAAATAGTATAAAAAGATGACTAAAAACACACTCCCTGTGATCCAGCCTAGTGTCCCTCAACACGGAGTGTCAGAACCTGGGAGCCCTCACCGTTTCATAACCCAACTACATGTCCTGAAGAAGGACCTCCCCAGAAGATCTCCAGACCTGGGCAGACTTGAACAGAAGAATACAGTCATTTGGATAGTCTGGACACAAGTCAATTAATTATCTCAGTATGGTATAAGCCCTCCCTATTTCATTTTGGAGCATTCCTGTTGACTCTGCTGAAAAGAGCCCTAAATTTTTGCCCCTAAGTCTTGCCCTCAGGCCATCATTGAAAATAAGATTTGCACAAAATTATCCAGCCAATGTTGTATCACTGTAGGGAGTGGAACCTAGTTCTTCCAGGTTGGAAGCAATATTCTATCTACAACACCACCCTGGGTATTACCGTACATTAGTGTCATATACATTCAGCTCTCCATATTTGTGGATTTGACTTTTGCAGATTAGATTATTCACAGATTTGATTAATATGTTCTCTTTAGGAACTTCTAGGTCCTCCAGCACAACTTCCAGGTCAACGTCAACCAGAAATTGTGCTGAAGGATCTATAGATTCCTAGAGAGAATACTTCTCTAAGCATTTGTAGGTCTTCCAGCATTATTCTATGGTCAGTTTCAGGGCGATATTGACCACCGAGTTGCACTGGAGGCCCTAGAAATTCCTAGAGAGGTGTTCTCTCCAGTTAAAAAAAATAGTGGTTTTTTTTTATTTGTGGGTTTTCCACTTTTACAGGGGTCCTGTACCCCTAACCCCAGAAAATGTGGAGAGCCCACTGTATTCGCTCAGCTTTGTCTTCAAGAATAATAATTTATTGGTACTAAACATACATTGGAACCTGTTTTGGCATTTGTGAGTATTGCTGATTTTGGCATATTACTCTGTGCGCTTGTATTTGTGTATATATGTACGTATAAAAATGTTCCTAATTATTACAAATGTTGCTTTGAGCTGGATCTGAAACCGATCACTGTGGAATTGTTTTAAGATTAGCCTTGTCAAATGTGTTTAAATGGGCCAGGCAAATACATACAAATAATTCAGTTATAGGCAAAATTAACTAATGCTCTTTTTCATGGTGAGCTGCTGTAATGATTTTATATAGCAGTCAAACTATTTAAATACTAATGTTGCCTTCATGCTGTAATCACCATTCCAGTCAGATGTCATTTTTAGCAGCCTATAGGGAATTCCATCCCTTAATTATTCTTCAATACACAAACCAAGCATTCTTTAATTGGTGTAAATTGAACAGCGTTCCAATGCAAACAAGGAGAGGACAAACTAATCAATGATTCCGTGCATGTCTATTGGAAAGCTATTGCCATTAGATCGAGTAACAAATCCTTAACTCCATGAGCCTCAATTGCAGGAAACTCAAACAAACAGTAAGCTAATGCTTCATGATGGTATTACAGGTCACAACTGGGAATTTATCTGCCAGGACTTGAACCCTCAAATGTTGGGGCAGGAATCTACTGTTTTAGATACAGAAAAGTAAGAAGAAGTAAAATATGAATTGGAGCCAATGAGGGAAGTGAATATAACTAATCCCAGGCAAAGAGTTATTGTTCTTGCCTAGCCCCAGATAGGCATCTAGCCCTCCTGCCACATTTCATGGGGCAGGTTTGAAGTCTCTAGGAGCTGCTTGTTGTCAGTTTTATGGTGGAACACTAGAATTTGCACAGCCCACTTTCTTCCACTGGCATCCTCGATCATGCAGTTCTCTATACTGCACAGTGTAGGAGGTCAATGCTACATCAAATGTTGTGGCTATTTCCAAAGAAATCTTGGGGTTTGTGCTAGGTACTAGAGTTCTCTAGCAGCAACTAATGGATCTCTTCCTGCTTTCCCCCCTCAAAAGCTTTTTATAGAGGTTGTAAAGAGCCTTTTAGAGAAGTTCTAGACACCATGCCCAGTAACATCTATAAAATGTGTTCCTTGCCTGAGGCAAGGCCCAGAAGGCTTCAATATCTGCAAGTCCCATCGGAGGAAAAAAGAAGAAAAAAGTAGAGGTTCAGTTCTGGACAGATGTTAGAAGAAATTGGACCCTGTGTAGCTCCTCAGAAGCAGAGGCAATTCTATGCTGTCAAACTGTTCCAGTTTGGCAGGGACAGTCCTGATTAATCCCCTTCCATCCCACTTTTCCTGCTGCTTTTAAAATTTCCCAGTTTCCCTCTCCTCCTCCCATATTCCCCCTTTGTTCTCAGCTTGTTCAATTGCTGAAAATTGAGTTCAAAGTGCAAAAGAATTTTGTACTCAGTTAACTCGGTGGGGTGGGGTGGAGAGGAAGGGCAGAATCTTGCCTTTCCCTGCAGGTTCAGAGAAAAGCAAACTGCTGCAGCCTTTCCTAGCTTGAGTGTTCTTCCTCATTAGTAACTTTTGTCATGTTGTCCACAGTCTGGTGTTGCTTGGCCACACATGGCCCAGTTTTCATCTATCAAATGATGGAGGGCATGTAGTCCTGATCTTATTTCGATTACATCATTGATGGGATTCCTAGAACTCAGAACCTAACCCTGACTCTCAGAACCTGGATCTTCTTCTCTGGTCCTGAAGATAAGAGTGAGGAATCTAGGGCAAGAGTGATGTCTTGAAAAGTGTGTCTATATATAATTTTCTCACTTGAAAACCTATTTTTTGGATGAATGTAATATTCCATACTATTGTGGTTGATTTGTAATGTAATAGGATTAATGACATCACCAGGGGCCTATTCCCTATAATGTCATAAGAAGTTGTCCTGGTGGCAAAGTGATTAAATGCCAGTACTGCAGCTACTCACTCACAAACCACAAGGTTGTGAGTTCAATCCCAGTCAGAGCTTCAGGGTCAACTCAGCCTTGCATCCTTCCAAGGTCACTAAAATGGGGCTAATTAGCTTACAGTTGTAAACTGCTTAGACACTGCTCAGTATGGTATGAAGTGGTATATAAATGAAGCTGCTATTGCTATTGTCCCCTAGGTCTCAGTCTTGGGCCCTGACATCTCACTGCCCCAGACTGTCCTTATCTGACAAACCTACTCCTCAGTGAACACTTTCCAGCGTATCTTCTCTTATTGCTATGTCCCCTCAAGTCATATTCAACCTATGGCAAGAGAGAACCTATTATTGGGTTTTCCTGACAAGATTTGTTTGGAAGGGGTTTGCCATGGCCTTCCTCTGAGGTTGGGAGTGTGTGATTTGCCCAAGGCCACCCAATGGATTCCCACAGTTGAGCAGGGATTCAAACCCTGGTCTCCAGAGTCATAGTCTAATGCTAAAACCATTACACCATCCATTCTGGATGCCCTCCCCATTAAAAAAAAAACATGGGACCTCAATTCCTGTTGTCCTCAATGGCAGTGCAATGTGCACATGGCTGTTAATATGGCCATGTGCAGCACTGCCATTAAGAACAACAGGGCTTGCCCTTCGCAAATGCTCATATCCACAGATAGCAAGCCTTTGGATGGTGAGAGCCCACTGAATAGCAAAACAAAACAACTTTCCAACAGGAAAGACTCCCCAAGTCCTATGCCACCCAAACAGCAACCACTATTCTTCAATTCAGAAGAGTGACTGAGGAGGCTGCTATTTCTTCTCAAAGGCTGAAGGAGAAGCACAAATTTTGTGCATCTGTATTCTTCCCACAGTTGCTCATTGTTTAGCCATATCCACTGTGATCCAACTCAGGAAGGTACAAAAAAAAAAAATAAAAAAAAATCCTGGGAGAAGATTCTTATCTCATGAAATGGCTTTGAGAATGTAAAGTATTGTAATCAGCCAAAGTCTGTTGGGATATCTCTTTACCTCCATGAATGTGAAGCTGTTAAAAGTAATATGCACCAGGTGAAGGGAAGTTCCAGTTCACAGGCCTAATCCAGAGATCTGAAAGCAAGACTTGATTCCTTTGTGAGACCCTCTTCTCCTCTAAACCCATGTCTGTGATCAGAGACCCTGGAGGACACCCTGCCTGGTTTTATTTCTCCTTGGCTCCCTGCTCCCTGTGTAGGACATGTGGAGAACAGGGATGGGGAAACCCCTGTAATTCTCAGCATTACAGGAAAGGAACTACAGTACCTAAAGGCCTATAGAACCTAAAAACTGTAATGGGTGGAGATGCCATTCTCAATGGTATCAATGGCCAAATTAAATCAATTCCTCTCTCACACTTGAAATCACCTTAGCCTGGCCATGTCAATTGCCAATGGGGATGGCCAGCATATCTGTTTGGTAGGTCAAACCAATAACTTATCTGGTTTCACTCTGCTGAGATAATGTTTTGAGATTGAGGGCAAATTCAGGGGAAGAATTAGATTACACTGATGCATTGCTAGGAGAGAAAACAGAAGAGATCCTTGGAAATTATTCAAAAGGGCTGCAAGTAGGGCTGGTAGATTCAAAGTAAGAGGTTGTTCATATCTTTGTAAATCTCTGATAAGCTTCTCTTGCTCACTTCCTCTTCAGCTCTGTCACCCATCAGTGCTGTAAATGTATGTTGTTGTTAGTGGCCTTCAAGTCATCCTGGACTTATGATGACCCTATGGATGAGAGTCTTCCAAGTTACCCTGTTATCAACAGCCCTGCTCAGGTCTTGCAGACTCAAGGCCATGGCTTCCTTGATTGAGTCTGAAATGAGACTTTTGATTTTCCTATATCCTACCATCTCACCAAGCATTATTGTTTTTTCTAGTGAAACATGTTTTCTCATGATAAGGCCAAAGTATAATAGCCTCAATTTAGTCAACTTGGCTTCTTGGGAGAGTAAATGTAAATGTATATCTGGAAGCATTTCTCACAGAAGACTCAGCAAGCAAGGAAATGGGTGGATAAAGGATGGTGGGAAACTATGAGCAAGTGAAATAGCAATACTTTGTCTCCTGTGGAATCCAGGTCTCTGGGTGGAGGTTTGGGTGATATTATAAGGGTGAAGCTACACAGGGCAGCCCCTGGTGATGTCATCAAACACAATCTACTAAGCATCAACTACAGCTGCACTAAGGATGCCATTCATTCAACCCCCCCTGCAAGTCTAACAAATAAAGAAAATGTATGAACACACACTTTTCAAGATAGTGTTATCACCCTGAGATTCCTCAGCCTTGCCCTGAAGACTGGAGAAGAAGCACCAGGCCCTGAGATCTGGTAACCCTACTGGGAAGCAGCCTCTGGTTTCATGATGGTGAAGGGAAGTATTAAAAAAAATCTAACTTTTCCATCTTATCAGCTTCAGGGTACTAGAATGAGAACTGCACTTGAGCATATGAATGGTGTAGCTATTCTTCTTCACTCCATTGCTCACCATGGATGATGAAGCTGCTGCTGCTGTCAGGACTATCTTTGAAGGTGACCTATCAGTGAGGACCAGTCTTATGACTGATCTGATATTCTGAGCCGGAGTCCTAGGCAGGATATAGGGCCTTTGCAGACTGCCAGTAATAGTGCAAATTGAGTCCACTTTAACTGCCCTAGCTCAGTGCTAGGGAATCATGGGAACTGTAGTTTTTCTGAGACATTGAGCCTTCTCTCTCAGAGAGCTCTGGTGCCACAATAAACTACAGTTCCCATGATTCCCTAGCACCAAATCAGGGCTGTTAAAGTGGACTCAATTTGCACTATTTCTGGCAGTCTGCAAGGCCCATTGTTATCTCTCACTTTAGATCAAGCAAAGTACAGGTCTCCAGATGTTGGGGTGCAACTTCCAGCATTCCTTACAGTTTGCTATGCTAGCTATACCAAATGGGAGTTGTAGTACAATACCATCTGGAGAATTTCACTTTGCTCACTTTTGCTTTAGACTCAGGGAACTTGCCCTGGCAAAAGGATGGAGGTGGTCAGTTAATCACTACATTGCAGATCAAGCTGATTTTCTTGCATAGAGGCTGCTAGTTAATACACGTTATATGTCTTGCATCATCATTCTAGGATATGGGGGCAATATTGTAAAAGAGAAACAGCATAACTCCTAGTTTTATCTAATGTTAAGGGACATTAAGGATTTGTCAGACTATTCTGCTTCAAAGTTGTTCTCATGCACTCATCTCTGGCCCATCAGTACAAATAAACATTTTATAGGCAAGAATAGGGTTTTTTTCTTTAGAAAATCAAACTTAAAAATGGTGCTACATTGTTTGGTTCTTTTATTCCATTAAATTCTAGTCCACATGATCCTGAATAAACATTTGCTGTCAATATTTGGTTTATATAAAAAAAACAGTCCAACTCAATTAAGTAAATAAAGCATTAGAAAACATAATTTCTTTCTTTCGCTAAACTAAATCCATTAAGACTTTAATACAAGTATGAATGGAAGACAAAGGGTACATACTTCTCAAAACGTGAAGACCCACAGGACATTTGCATTTTAAAATTAATTGCTGACCTAATTATTTGTCAGTAGAGGCATAAATTAAGCAAATATAACTTAACAGGGAAGCCTGAGTCACCCACAGGAGTTCTCCCCACAAGAGTAAATTTTTGTAATAGTCCAGTTTGACAGTCCATTTTTTCCTGTCATCTCATGACCGAAGGAAGAATTTCTGGAAACAGTACCATATGGAGACATGAGAGAGAATGATATACTTAGATCTCCTGTACAAAGGAATGATAAGCTATAAGTCACCAGAGAGAATCAGGAGACACAGTTTTGATTTAAGAAAAAGGAGAATAAAGCTTTTTACATCTACTTAAATTCAGTTTATATTCCTAGCTGTTCTGACTAAAATGCCCAGAGGACTGGATCTCTATCCATCTATCATCTATCCAATTGTCCATCCATGTTAGCACTGTCTGTCTGTCTGTTCCTTCAAGTTGTCTGCTGACATATGGCAACCCCATGAATTTCATAGTTTTCTTAGACAAGGAATACTCAAAGATGGGTTTGGTAGTTCCTTCCTCTGAAATATAGCCTACAGCACCTGGTATTCATTGGAAATCTTCCATACGACTAACCAGTGCTGACCCTGCTTAGCTTCCAAGATCAGAGAGACTCTAGCACCTTTAGAGTATTTAGGCTTATTAACATTAGCTGGAGGAAGGAACATCAGCAATCTAAGATGTGTGGATGACACTATACTACTAGCAGAAAACATCCTAGATTTGGAACAATTACTAAAGAAGGTAAAACAAGAAAGTTCAAAAGCAGGTTTAATGCTGAACATGAAGAAAACAAAAATAATGACCACAGAGGAACTACATAAATTCAACCTAGACAATGAGGAAATTGAAACAGTTAAAGAATCCCTGTACCTTGGATCAAACATTGACCAGAGTGGAGACTGAAGTCAAGAAATCAGAAGACTATCTCATTTCCACTTACATTTAATCTGGTTTGTGATTCACTTTCACTCCGGATCGGTGAATCTATTCCAGTTGATGCGTTCTTCCCACTATGGAAGTGGGTCTTTTCTTTCTTTATTTATTTTTTGCATGATTGCCATCCCACTAGTTTGTGTCACTTCAAAATGCCTGTCAGTTATCTATGTGTCATCAGTGATGCAACCAACAACACATTCAAGAAAACACAGGAGTGAGTCATGCATGCCAAAATTCTCCCCTGGGATGCATGCAGCCATGGGTGTCATGGAGCACTCTCCCCTGGGATGCATGCAATTTTTTTAAAAAAATTGACAGTATATGTGCTCCATTGTTTTTGCAATTACTTGTCTCACTAAGCTGCAGTTGTGGTCACATCACAAAGCACAAAGGTAGTGCTGGAGGGGGAGAGAATGGCAGATTTCTCCAAAAACTGGTAAAGGATGTGCCAATCCTCTGCCTCTTCAGTTTGATGTGACTCAGTAATCCCTCCTCTTCAGTTTGATGTGATGCGATGTGACTCAGGTCTGTCATTCCCACTTGCTGAATACGCTTGCTTATCGCTTCTTTTCAAAAGGACCAGCAAAAAACTAGTGTCTGAAAAGCGCAATTTTTTTTGCATTTGTCTTGCTTCAAAGTGAGTCCAAATGATTGCAGTCCCTTCTGAAACCATTTGAAATGGGGATGAGGCACATTTAAAGTGATCAGCAAATTGATGTAAATCATAGTGGGAATGAGCCTTAGGTATGGGAAAGGTGACTTTGAAGGAATTAGACGAGAGCCTAAAGTGCAGAGATATACGACTGAACAACAAAGTAACAATAATTAAAGTCAATATATTCCCCATCACCATCATGTACAGATGTGAGAACTGGACAGTGAAGAGAAGAGACAGGAGGAAAATTAACTCTTTTGAGATGTGGTGCTAGAGGAGAGTGCTGGGGAATACCATGGACAGCCAAAAAGTCAAACAAGTGGGTTCTTGAG